CAGCAATGGGATCTCCTCTGGGTCCATTTTTCGCTGATATCTTCATGGCATAGCTGGAGAATAACATTCTAAAACGGAGAATCGATCGTTGCACATTTTACCAGCGCTATGTGGATGACATTTAGTGCTTTGTCAATGACAGTGTGCATCTGTCAAGACTCCTGAAAGTATTTAATTCAGCTCATCCAAACATTAATTTTACTCTAGAGAGCGAAGAAAATGAGCAGCTTGCATTTCTGAACGTTCTACTAAGTCGTCGATCAGACGGAACTATCCAACGCGCCATCCACAGGAAGCCATCGTGGAACAATCGGTAGATCCATTTCAAAAGCTATGTGCTTTTGCAACGAAAAGGAAACCTGGTTCATTGCCTCACTACCAGGGAGCGGAGAATATGTACGGTCTATACCATTGATGCAGAACCGAGGTTTATTCGAGATGTTTTCCTTCAAAACGGATACCCCGTGCGATTTGTGGACAACATTCTGGGTCGTCACCGGTTGCCAAATAAGACCATTACTGCGGAGAAGAAACCGGTTTACATATCGCTACCTTTCAAGGGTGACAACTGCCGATATGATGACACGTAAGCTCTGTACAGTTGTAGAAAAAGCATTCCCCGCGGAAAAACTGCGTATTATGTTCATCTCCAGGCCACTTCTACGCCTTCAGCTCAAAGATAAATTGCCTGTTTCTGCCATCTCTTTCTGTGTATACCTATTTACCTGTTCCTGTGGGGCAAGGTACATTGGCCGCACGAGTAGACGTTTATCCGAGCGAGTCCTTGAGCATCACCCGACCTAGTTGAACAGCAGAGTAATTAGGACCATTAACAGCTCAATCGTTTCACGCCTAGTGGAATCAAACCACGTAATTAATGTGGCCGAGGCGTTTCAACCACTCTGCTTAGTTCACAACTGGTGATCTAATAGGATTAGGGGTCGCATTTTGGATACAGCGGAAGCGATCGAAATCCACCTAAATGATCCCCCCCCTATGGTCCCAAAAACAAATCTTAAGAACATTCGGTCTTCCAAGACAAGACACAGCCACCCCCACCCGCCCCTAGTGACCCAAACAAGTGCGCACGTGTGAGGACCAAAATGTGAGTGACATCCGGTCATTGAACTAGAATGTCAATTATCTCTTTTCCAACTTGTCTTGATCTGCCCCCCTCTGCCAAACAGTTTGATATAAATTGTGATGTATTAGCCTGTAGAAGAATCACCGCAAACGAGCTTGTTCGCTACTTTGTGTTTTCTCACAATGGGTATGGATGGTATGTATATTCGGGCAATTGAAACCAACAGTCTTTCCATTATTCGAATATCACTTCAAACAGCTACTTGAATCTTATCCACTGCACAACCGCCTGGTTTGGAAACCCGCAGTCACCATCAGTACTAGATTTAGTGTTGACAAATGAAGAGCTGATGGTGGAATCCATCACTGGTCCGTTCCTCCTGGGACGCAGTGCTCATATATCTATTCAAATAAATTTATCTCTCTGTTGTTAACAACGTTCTCCAAATAACTGATCCATAGGTTACACAGGGTTTCGAAACTGGTTTCTTTTATATTTTAGTATTATTATTAAAACATAGCGCTTTCTACTCATGGTGAAGAACTGAATCCGCTGGTCTCCTGGCAACACTTTCTCGAAAGTCTTACAAATCTACTAACTGTAGTGACTATGACTGGAGTTATCAACAAATCTGACATTCAAACATCATCTACTTGAAGACTTACGAGGAAATGCATATCTCCGAGGGATCTCTCATGGCGAGGGTATAAACGTTGTTCGAATATGGTCACTTGGAATAATTACCGAATGCTAAGAATTAATGTAACCTTACTGATTCGGGTGTGTAAGCTGATATAACAAGAGTTGCTGGAATTTAGATTCATCTCTAGCCCCAAACTGATAAGTATGTTAGCTCAGTTCGGGAAGTTCAATTTGGCTTACCGGCACTAAGTTGCAGTGGGAGAGAGGCAGCCACCACAATAGCGAAAGCAAACTCAGAATTACAAACTATTACTAAACCAAAGGTTGAAGGTCTACAGCTCCCTCGCCGGTTGCATCATCTTTCATTTTCTTTGCTGAGCAACGTAACATGTACTGCTGAGTACGTCAAAGCAAAACGAATGGCTCGTGAAAAACGCACCCTCAGGTGCGGACAATATACACCCATCAACCCGAACCTGACTGGCGAATCACCGGTCTGAACCACCAGCTATTCTATTCCCATGAATGTTCAACCAAACATAAATCGTGAAAAAGGGGCTATTTCACCTGTGTACAAAGATGGTTATCGTAGTGACTCAGCTAACCACCAGCCTATAACCTTCCTTCCATTGCTATCTAAATACGTGGAATCGATTATGACGGATTCAATGATGGAGAATTTGGAAAGGTAAAGTATTCGTTCGCCAGCGCAAAATCGGCTCTGGTAAAACCAACCTGTTTCTTGTTCGCAACGAACTGATCAAACAGTCAACGAGGGGGAGGCGATGGGTGTGATTTATCTGGACTTTTCGAAAGCATTCGATCGGTTGAACCACCAAACACTGTTACAGAAGCCTTACAATTGCGGCATTCGAAGTCTCGTGCTTCATTGGATTCAAGTATTGGTCCGACTACGTTCGTGTTTCTGACTCCCTGTCCGGCGCCATCAACGTTACAATCGGGGTTCCACAAGAGTCTATACTCGGTCCCCGACTTGATTCATAAATGATCTACCGAAGGTTCTGGGACCAGAAACAATACTGTTTACAGACTCTCCCGAAGGGTCGCTAACATTATAAGAAACACTTAATGAAGCTACTCATTGGTGTATGGAGAACGAAATTAAATTCAAAGTTTCCAAATGCCGAGTTCTAACGATAAATCACGGGAATAGATCTCAGTATTTTCTCGGAAATCAAAAACTGCCCCATACCTCAAGTGAGAAGGACCTAGGTATTATTATTCAACATGACTTAAACTGATCGAATAATTGCAACAAGTCTTCGTCTGCAGCTATGAAGAGTCTCAGCTTGCTTAAGTGCACGTTTGTTCGGTTGAACCCAGTATTGTTCCAAAGTTCGCCAGCAGTGTACATTCGACCGAACACAGAGTACGCCATCCCAGCCCGGAGTCCATGGCTACAAATGATCCTATTATTCCGGGGCGTCCACCAAGATTGTCAAGGGATTACATTGCCTGATCTTTGGGGAGGGACTACAATAATTGGGGTTATGTTGCACCCAATACTGCCGAATACAAGGAGATTGGGTTAGGGTTTACCAAGTATGTCAGAACTATGTCAGACTATCCTTGTTGTGCGCTGCTCACGTTATTGCCCAACATCCATCTCATGGGATATCCCTTCAAGTTGGTGATTCAAAAGTTTCGGCTAGTCTGCCGGTATTTATCTTTCGCCGTCAGGGCATGCATCACTTATATTACTCTTCCATCTCGCATGGTCGTCTTGTGTACGTCAATTGTTGAATCTCTCGAACGGAGATTCGATAAAACCCTGGAAACCCCGACATTCTTACACAACTAAAAATGGAAAACAGCTGAAGACCCCATCATGTTTTATGTTCATACAAAACAGTTTCTATTTTTTGCCGAGAGACAACTCCATGAAGTATACATCCTACGGGTACAAGAGAACCATGAGCTTGTAAGTAATTCCCATACTAAAACTCAGACTCTGAAACCTTGCACATTCACTAGGATTATACACCAATGTTTTTTATACTGACTTCTGGTCAATCTAAATGTTTTTAAGCTGAAGTGATATAAACAAGAAACTTGTTGTTCAGTTTTAATGTTTTGATGCATTACTAACATATTCAGTTATACGGTAAGATTTTGATTAGGTTCACCGAAAAAATTGCAACTGGCTACTGCGAAGCAGTTTGGGTTATCACATGGACTGTATCAGTTGGTGCGTTTGGTTCCATAGTACTGGCACACTCAAACCAGCAACTGTCGCATGAATGAACGGCAGGTAACTCGTGTGCACACAATACAGTAGGCCAGAAATGACATGAATGAATGAATATTAACTTAACCAGATACAATGGCTGAATCGAGTATGCTTCGAAGAAGGGATAAAATACTGTTGGTTTATATTAAATTTTCTTCCATCATTGAGATTATCACAATGTGAGCATCGTGCTGACTGTCAGTTTCATGCTCTTTGTTAGCCCTAATGCGGGAGCCCCTTTTGATGGTATTAAAAAGGCCGTATGTGGCAAGTTTGATTTTCAAAGTCATGGCTGTGATCCAGGACTCGCAAACTAATTATTTTAATGTAAAACGCACTACCTAACCTGAAAGTTATTCCGTAGATGGCAGAGTTTAATACCATTCAATTAATCACCTCTCGGATCCTTACTAACTCAGTAAATGTTTGGTACAGCTTTAATCACAAATGCTAGCACCAATTAAAAACGAATACAGCCGAGGAAAATGTCCACTCGCAAGAATCCACTCTGTCCTGGCTTGCCCTTTTTATCTAAGGTTTTTCTACTCCGTATAAAGCGTTGTGCTACTTACGAGTAGTGCACAAACAAAATAATTCGAAATTATCGCTGTGTTAGCTCTGAACGATGGCCATGGACCACTGAAATCAGGCTAAAGGTATTGGCTCCAACTCCAAAGGTTCACGATTCGAGTCCCAGCGGTATGCCCTGGTGAGTCCCGAAAAAAACAGAATAGCTGCTCTTTGTCGACCATCAAAACGAATTCTATGACATTCAATAAATGAAATGGACAAGCCAGTTGAGGTGAACCTTTACTTTATATCAGTGGTCTAAAAATTTCACTCACAAATCGATGTGTATGAGATGTGTGTCTAATGAAGAGTTATAAACAAACCGATAAACCATATTACTATTAACGGGAGGTGTCACTTCCTTAGTGGTAAGTCTCGAACATAGATCGATCATTTTAAAAGCGTACATGCTTCGGTCAGCCCAGACCGATATACGATTTCGTGTTAACTTACCAGTCAATTTTCTCGAGTATTGAAGCCACGTATTCCATGACTGACTGCAAACTGCCCAAAACTTCACGTGCCTTGGCCAGTTTGACTTTGAACGGTTTCTTTCGTCCGTACTGCGGGTTTTGGCGAAAATAGGTGAGCGGAATCACGTAACAGTAACCAACCAGTTGATGCACTCCAATGATATTTTCTGTTTGACTAAATTATTTATTTTTTATACATAACTAAATTGCTGCAAACTTGTGAAAAGTGTCAGAATGTGGCGTACTATTCATTGACACATTAACTCAGATATTCAAACAACTCCAGCTGAGCACTCGTGTGCATTGCACATTATTGTTCATACTGCAAACCAGGTAGATAGATTTTTTAATTCACATTCGTACACGAGGTTCAAATCCGCAAACACTCAAGTATTACATTCATGTCCTGTGAGGAGGTTCCATCTTCTCTCTTGATCGCGTTAATCAGAAGACCAAACAGATGACTGGCAATTAACCCCCTCCCCGAATGCAATCACCGATCATCCATCGGTTATTTCTCTATCCGGTCTCTATTGTTTTTCGTATTCCTGATTTTGTATCAGAATTTCTTCGTCGTATGACATTTAACTGTTCATTCTGTTTACCTGCGGCCAGTCATCACTTACGAAGCTCTGTTTGAAGCTAAATTAGTACAATCATTTTTTCTGAAGGGGATGGTGGACGATCTGAGTCTGAGTGTGATGGGGGGGGTGAGATGAACGTGGAGATTCGACTACACAAAATCCGAAACAATATATATCCCTAACGCAAACAGCTTGAGTTCTCCGTAACTTTAACGAATAATGAATGGTATTTTCCGCGTGTTAATATATTTGAGGAAGCTTGTTGTTAGGAAGCAGCGATGTTCGATTTTACTCTGATTTTATTAACTATCTCGGGAAAGTCTGGTCAACTCTTTGTGGCAACAGTTGACCGAGCTACTAAGAGAACCATACTATTTACAGTAAAAAGCTTGCGTCACTTCCTTTTGATTCATTAAACAGTGAAGCTTAAAGAGTAGTTGTCGTTTGCGGTCAATTGACCATCACCCCGCATATTCTTGTTTTATACTAATTCGATTTCACAGACCTATACACTTCCAGTGAGTACAAACAGCGGTAACAGTAATTTTTTTCTTTTTCTGGTCTTTGTTCGAATTGACTGACAAATATAATTGCGAAACGAAAATGAACACACTAAGGAGTGACGGTAAACACAAAATCAGCCAATGGATTGGGTTAGGAAGCCATGTGCCAAATGTGTCAGCCGTCGACCATGTAGTCCACAGTAAGAGGTTACAATTCTCAACCCTAACATTTAGTAAGGGCACTCAAATACAGTATGTAGTGCTATCGAAGCAGTTAGCCAGGACGTTTTGGTGGGAGGAGCAAAAATTCATTGAGACACCCTCTGTGCAGTTGTGAAAATTAACTTCCTCTAAATTCAAATACAAAATAACAAAAATCTTGTTTTAATACCGTTATGCGAAACGCCTTTATTTGACCTTACCCGAGTCGTTCTGCAAGCATGTCCGATACGAATAGAGTTCAAACTAGTTATTTACATATCACTGAAAGTTTTGTACATTTTTACATGGATCTCATGATCACGTATCTTCCAGGCTAATCATTCTAATCGAATACCTTAGTGACGAGGGTCACACTATTTTCTTGATATTTCACATGAGAATCAAATATAGTGTGTCAGAATGAAGCCTACGTTTGTTCTATTTTTGCTTACCCCTTGAAAAAAATTTATTTTCCGAGGTTGCATTATCCATGGATAAATGGGGGACAGTTTTTCGATAAACAAAGGGCCCATTAGGCTCCTAAGCTATTAGAGCGGGTATGGTTAGATTCCGACAATGGTAATCACTTATCGATTTTCAAACCACGGTGAATGTACTTTTACGTCATTTTAATTTTTGTAATTTGATTGGTATTAGGTGCAATGTAGCATTGGTCGAATTGGATTTGTGCTTTAGTCTGCTAAGTTCCATGATCAATCCCTGATCATGATTGAAAATTTAGCTGTTCAAATCCAGTCACCTTCAACTCTGCTCGCCATTCTGTCTGAATCCGAATGACGGAGAACGGGCAAAACAATTGCTCCATTTCGAATGAAATCTTGGTGAATGTCACTGATGTGAATAGAAACGTGCTTGTTGTTTGGATTTCATTCTCTTCCGAAACGTATTATGCAACTTGTTTTTTCTGTGACAAAAGAGCGTGCTACACGACCCGGAAGATAGCAGTAGTCAACTATGAGTAGTAAAAAAGTAAATATATCCGGTACTGCGTTTTACAATAAATACGATGGTGTCTATTTAGTGAACAAGTCGGTGTGAAGGACCACTGACTTCGCAGGAGGGTAGATAGAGACTGTTCGAATGGAGTGGGAAATTTCGAGGAAATGGCCTTTGATCTGAACATCATCAAGATAATCCACGGCAGTAGATGTAAGGTTTAAGCACCAGTAACATGGGTGCACCTTCAACCGAAATAAAAAAATTGGATTGACACCGAAGATGCGCTTTGTAAAATAACGGACTACCTAAGTATAGTATATCGTTAATCACGAAGAAATTCCAAAAGCTGTTGTGAACTCTTTGAAGATCAGTACACAGATAAATAATCCTCAAAATGAAAAGAGTACTACACTGAATATAGGACAGTGAGTTTTATGGGTCTACGTTTCCTAAACAAAGTTCCAACTCAGCAAGGAAATAGGCAAATTTGAAGTAAACGGCTCTGGCTCATCTGTTTCAACAGAGTAAACATTCAGGTTTTTTTGTAACACTCCTTAAAATTTCAATCGGGGCTAGTTAGGAATATATCTAAGACCTGTGAAGGTTTCATCTGCGTTCCGCATTGTACACGGAAACAGAAGATGACAACACACGAGAGAAATACAGCGTTCTGCTTTGGGTATCTTTGCAGCAGGAAGAACACAAACCACAAGTGAATGTTAGTACAATGACTAGGACTATTGGCTAGTCTGTCGGAAATAAATCGTGGGTATCCTTGTCCTATAACAAATAATAACGGACAATGGCTATACTGCTCCAAATATATAACTTTTGAAAGTGCATTTGCTCCATTGAACAAATGCGTGTGGAGATAAATCTAGTTAACAATGAACATCTGAGTTGATAGACCAATCAATCACCGAATGCAACCACAGTTTGTTTCATGGTATGTCGACCAGGTGACAAACAGCATTAATAATCAACTAGTAGACGACCGAAAAATGGAATCGAAGGTTGTGAAAGTAGTCAATTACTTTATGCTTCTTCTCGTGGTCATCTCCATCTTCTTCTTCCATTTCTTCTTCGGAATCTCCATCATCATCCCAAAGTTCCTGTTATAACACGACAGGTAAGATCAATTGGAAAAGCATGGGAAAGTAATGAAGATTCACACAATACTTGTGTTTTGCAATTACTTATGTTAAGTAATCAAGGCCAGCACATATGTGACTTAGTTTATTTCTTTGTGAGTGTAATCCAAAGACTTGAACTAGAAGGGACTGCTTCTGCTGTTTACAGATCTCATGTGCATCACACGCAAACACACACATGATCAGAGACCAGCACATCAGATAAAGTCGGCTAGTTAAGACTGGAAATTGCCATTTTGTCACCACCGTGAGCCAGCCGATTACGAGCAAATTAACATATTAGGTTATTAAATAGTTGCACTTAATGGAAGTGTTTCACTCATACGTAAATGTTCGATAGTTCTAGTGCTCACATTCTCACATTCTCTATCACCTCCATCGATCGGTGTCAGTATTGATCTGTCCTCGTTGATTGGTTTATGGACTGCTCAGCTTGACCGCATTCCGATGTCGTGTACCGCTTGCGCCTATTGTGTCTGTAGTTCCGTTGCATCATTAGATCGGATGGTTCTACGTATACTCTGCTTAGTCCACCCTCTATTGTGACATTATAGGTTGATTAACAAGCAGCAACTATCGGATGCACATATATCCAAGATGGCCGAGGGCGTAGAGCGTCGTGAGTTAAAGATCTGAGTATTACCGGAGTATGTTGAAGGGATTGTACACACAGCGAGGGGAAGGAAAAGCTATCGAGCGTGTTGATTGAACTCATGGTCACTAAAACACCAAAATCAATCACATTGTAGGACCGAGGTTACCATCACGCATCATATGCACTTTGTTCAATGTGTACAAATGAGTCTACTCAGGGGGTTCTTCATAGAATGCTTCTAAAGTGCCTTGTAGAGGGACTCAAATTGGAATCATTTTCATTGAAACATTTGTGTATATGAGTAATCAAACCCGATTAAAAAAGAAAGAAAAAAAACCAACAAAGTATTTAACACACTCAGTGAATCTGGATTTAGACTTACATCAGTGTTGATATTCTCATCGTAATCGTCCTGAAAGTTCACGTGAACAATACTAATTAGTGGAAGTGGGCGTGAGGGGTGATTGGTCAATGAGAAAACAAAATGTGTTTTCATTTTGCATGATTTGTGAATAAATAGGGGATGATTATGAAAAATTAAAAATAAATGCAGAATGAGAGTACGCATTTGTTGCCGGTTGGCGCGATCAGAAGAGAGACATTATGCGACTAAACCGATCATGGTACTAAATAATTTTTACTGGTAAAGCAGTAAATAAGTAAATGAATGGTCATTAAAGCTACCGTGATCATCAGTTTTTATTCACAGAGAATTAACTTTAGTCTGACTGGGAACTACTTTGCAATAATTAAGGATAGGTATGTAAATCAGAGAACAAGCTGAATATAATTAATTTGTAGTTTACTCTGATTGACAAAGCCTCACTATTTGCCAGCGATTTTGCATTAGAGTTATGTGATAAGGGGTTAAAAGAGAAAGCACGATCAATTTTGCATGGTATTTTGTAACAAACCACTCCGGGTTCCATGTGACCATCTGATTATCGAGCGTAGATTGCGTCATCGACTCCATCTACAACTTTGGAATGTGTTCGGCTATTCATTGTGTTGACTTACGGTTGGCTCTGTCTTTATCTGTACCGCAATTACAGTTGAACTGGTTTACAGTGTGTACGATAGAATGAGAGTGCCAACCATGTATACGTTTGTCCTAATCCGTTCCTCGATTAGAGATAATTAGTCAAAGTTAAGCATCTGAGAATATTCCGTTCAGAGCTGACCTTAGATTCTGGCGTACATAATTCAGAAATTGATCGCCCGTGAAAGATAGTTTATCCTGGACGGCTTTTGGGGAACAATTGGAGGCGGATTACCTCTTTGAGATTGTTTACCATGGATATCAATCAATCTTTCTGGGTAGCCGTGCTGTAACATTCTTCTTAGGGATTCTTCTTCTAAAGAGAAAAAGTTTTGGCATATGTCTGACAGATGTGTTCTATTGATCTGGATGTGCCAGATAAAGGACACCCAGTGCTTCAAATTCCTAAATCGAAGAATCTAGCTTATTTCACGTGAGGACTTGATCGTTTGCATACATTGCTTTGGAAAACCATTGAAGAACGAACTCGTAATCCGTTTTGCAAAGACTGTGCACGTTCTGGACAATTTTCACATAACTACTCGAAGGAGCTTATGAAGGAGATCCTACAAATCTATGGTTTGCGAAAATATTCCTGTATAGAATGATCCTGAGAACGTTAATTAGGAAGCATGCTTGTTTTTGGTGCTAAACTAACTGGCTAAGTACAGTATAATAATGATAGATTAGCTACGTGATGAGGGGAGACCCATATCTGCGAAGGAAATCTGAGTTCAGAAAGTGATGATGTAAGTGTAATAAATGGTGTGCTTGGTGTTTGTGCGTGCATGTGTGAATGTGTAGAAAATGCTTTTCTATGACTTTAATTTGGAACCCGAAGGAGTTGATCCTAGGGCTTATTTTAGATTTCTGCACAAGTGCATCCGTTTTACCAGATATATATGTTCGCTCACCATCAAAGGAGTAAGGATACAGGGGAGTCAAAACAATAACAACAAATAGCCAGGCATACCGAATCACTGTCATCATTCGTCTTGGTCGTCTGTTGATGAGCAGCGTGGTTTTTGAACCAGTAGGTGGTGAAAAACCAGCAACCAGCAAGTAGTAGCACCATTCCACCCATGATCATATATGGCTGAACAAACAAGATGGCCAATGACATGCCGATCATGAATAGGCACGACTGAAGTCGGTTCTCCCAATTGTACAGTTTGATAAAGGTTTTCTGACCCTGTGCCAGGTAAACTCCGTATGGTGCGATCCGATCAATTTTTCGTTGTAGATCCTGTGGATTGTGCGTTTGATAACATGATAAAATGTGATTAAGATAAAAATAAGATGATAAAAAACGATGTGTACTCAATAATACGAATGATTATATTTTCACTGACCGTGACTATACGCAAGGACTTCGTTGGATCAGGTGTGAAAATCGAAAGACGTTCAGAGGTGAGACATTCATGAACCCTGATTAAAATTCGAATAGATAGATTATTATTATTAGATTAGATTATTATTATCGTTACTATTAGATATATACATATGCTATAAATAACATAATTTATTATTCCCTCGGTTGCTACATTTTTATTTGCAGATGCACTTCCTGTCGGACTAGGATTAATATGAATTACCATGTGTGGAAAGTATATGAGTTGTGAATGCGATAACAGAGAGTGAATTTCTTCCTTTAGCTGAGTTGATACCGTTTTGCGGTTGACGAACTATTCATAACATACATTTTCCAAATAGCTTGAGAACAGCATTTAGATTTTGGAAAGCAACTGTAATGAGACGTTAAGGTTCATAAAATAATTAATTAATAATCTAAAGCACACAAATGGTCATGAGAACCATGTTAATTTTTCTGTTGTATCACGTATGTACATTCGGATATCCACACACATGCATACAACAGTGATTATTGGTGGCTTGTTCAAACCTATATTTATCCAATTAGGAGTGCGAGTGTTTTGCCAGGACGGTCGATACATTTGACAGACTCTACCTGTTCACAAATGGATGTTTCCGCGTTTTTTCTGTAATCAACTGACCATTAAAGTTCCGTGCACAGCAAGCTGTTCATGTATGGGTAGCTGAAATCCGTACTAACATTTTCGATTACCCCAGTTTATAACTAAACATTACAATAGACGAGAATAAAAGCTGCTTTCTGTTTTTATTTGCTCTCAAGTTACAGCACCAAAAGATTGTCTGGTCGTAATCAGAAATCTCACAGAAAAGGGTGGGAACTACCAGTGAACAGAGGGGACTGAGCCATATAAACTTACCGGTACATACTTCCTGATCAAGTCCTGCCAGAAAAGAAACGAAGTAAATTTTGATAACGATTTGAGTAGCAACAGCACGAATGTCGGGATATAAGCGATAACTGATAGGAGTGACACTTCTAGGCCGATAAACTGTCAATTCTCTAGGGACATATTGAACCTAATTTGTTTTCATCGTTTACCAAACTCTGAATTGTGGTTTCAACTTTTAAGGAATTTAGCAGTGGTCGCATCGAGGAAAACTGCATGTTTAGTGGATTTAACCAAGTTGAGAATAACTGAGACTTAATCCTTGGCGAGGTGGTTTAGGAGATGCAAGTACCTGATACTAGGCAACTGAACAACGGCTATTATCTCACCGAACAGTGCCCACGAATAAAAGATCCCCAGGTTATATTCACACACTTGTTACTTGCTCTTACCTGCTATCGGCAAATTTGCGACACCCCCTCAGCGAACTACAAGTAACACGAACTGTAAATGCCAGTAGACAGAGTCATTGACTTTATTACAAAGTCTGGTAGCATTTCAGTAATGCGGCGTAAAGTATCTGAAAACCACTTGTATGGGAACAGGCTAGTGTTCTGTAGGATTATTGATTTTCTATCATGTTCTAACTATTGTATGGTTGCATCAGTCTTGACATGCTTGCACACATGAAACAGATAGTTAAATCTAACTACTATATCAGTTGGCAAAATGCTTTCAAAAATCATTAACATGGCATTGATCTTTTTTAATAACAAACCGATGCCTATTAGCAAACAAAACTTACTCGCAAATGAATACGCTCCGCCTGCCAAACCCAAGGTGTTTCCATTGGATACACGACTCTTAGGGCTGCTCGAACCTGGAAGAATATTTGAATGAATGAAACAAAAATTTTCAAAATTGTTCCAAGCGTGGTTTATCAAACAGCTGAGAGCACTGGACAACACTCTTTAATTACTGAGGATATACATCAGCGGTGCTTACAAAGTTTGCGTCTCTATCAGGACTTGATGAGCAAACGTTTGAGTTGGGAAACGAAACACTTATCCTCAGACTGGACTGAGCATGAAGATACTGTTTATCAGACAGATGAGCCGCACTCTACCATAACAAACCGAACTAAGTATCTAGTTCACAATTAATCTAAAAGCAAACGACAAATTCAATCAGGCGAAATGAATTTCCTGAAAGGTTACCAATTGATATTTGCGTACATTCATGGACCCTCCAATTACCAGTTGTCACCCACCAGCATGGAACAAACTATCTGTTCGGTATCAGCATTCTTTCGGTTGGAAATGAACGCTGAAGAACAACAAGCTAGATTTTAGTTCACTAACATGTGGAAATTCCTGAAATGGAATGCTTGGAACTCAAAGACATCGGGTAATCTAAGAGCTACCGGATCTAGTTGGGTAAGGTGCCGCAAAGAAATCCTTACATATAAACATCTCTCTCATTGAGGTAGGTTTTCGGTCTGAAGTGGGTGGCTACCACGAGTATTACTGTGGTTTCATAGAATAAATCGCCTTTCAACCTACTCATCCTTAAGAAAGAACTGGGTCATTCCCGCCTAACAAATTGTGCTCATGCAGTGTTGAACAAGCATAGTCTCAAGGCATTACTATCTGTAAAGATTCATCCCGAGGGATAAATGGAGTCCTTTTATCAGTTAACTTTCATTCAATTTGTTGAACACATAATGATACTATTTTCAGGACGGGGGAAGCAGCCACGAAAAAATGGGTTACCAAACAACACAGAGAATGAGGAAAGTCAGGTTGTTATGGTGGGATTCGAACACACGGCAATGCATTAGTGTCCTTGAACGGTAACACAATGAAGTGTTGAAGCAAGGTTTCAGCCGCAAATGACATGGAATGGAAAAGTGCACAACTGAGAGGATTATATCAAACTTGCAAGATGTCGGAACTTTTCTTACGGTGTGGGGAGTTATAGGATCTGAAAAACAGAGTGGTTTTCAGCGAAAAAACGACGGTCTATTCGAATTATCTACATACAAATTTTGAGTGCTGCACTGAAGTAACTGCTAAAACAAAAACTCAACTTTGTCCTAGAAGATGATCACATCTCAACACACCGGTGTAAAACCATTCAGCCAAATAGACTTTATTATGGTATCTGCTGCATATAATGACTTTCTGGATCACCGAACCTTGATCTCATTGAACACCGTTGGGATCATCTCAAAAGGAAGTATAGAAAACGTCACTATCACAAAACCTAGCGGAGCTGAGGTGAGCGCCCTCAAGGCCGTTTAGGAATCACTTCGCTGGGGTAATTTCACTGGTGGTCATGTTGAAGTTGTGGCCCGTAGAGTAGGTGCTGTCACGGCCAATGATTACAGCAAATCCACAAAGGTCCCTTTCAAAACACTATTGTCTGTTAAACACAAGACAACTAGTGTCCTGCACTTGTGAATAACGAGTTTATGTTGCTAGATAAATTGTACACCTTTCGGTCTCTTAAAGGGAGACTGTAATCATTTTCACCGACAGCCCATATGAATTCAACTTCAACTTAGTGAACAAACGAAATGCGGAATAGAAAAGTTCCCGAGGAGTCAGACACGTACGGGGACAGTGATATCCGGATCATGGTTTATATTAATTCACATGGAATGAAAAAGGGTAACACATTTAGGTGCTCTCGGTAAACTTAGCTCATGTACTGTGAGTGCCATTGGTTCAATGTAGTAAACATCCGCTATAATTGGGAAAATACATAACATTATTTATATTCTACGACTTCATACACAATCAGTTACGGTTTGGTCATGGGATAGGAGTAAATCAATCTTGTGCATTTCTGATTTAAAAGTAGTACCACTTTTTAAATAGACGTAACGCTTTTGTGAATGCAAGTTCGAAGAGAGGTAAAACAGTAATAATGAATTTGGATTAAGTTTCATTCATGGGACAGTTATGGAGGCTTTTGCGGAACATCTTCAAAATTATCTGTCTCAGTTGCAGAAACATTCATATAGGACCAAAGAATTGTCCGTTGGACATAGGTTTTCTTGAATAGTTCTATTCAATCAATGTACCTGAAAGAATGCAAACAAAACCTAACAAAAGTAACTTATGGAACGGAGCAATCGGGACTTGGGCATCATGTTTGGAGCACCAGTGGTTTTTTTCAATCATTTCTGGTTGTGATCTGTTATCATTAGGTCTGGTGTGTTTTGGACAGATCTCCTTTTATACTCATAATACTTATATGTTCAATAAACTAACGTCACGGTTTGAAGGTAGGGACCATACTTCATACAAAAAATAACTACTTGGTCCATTTGATGACGTTCCATTTTTTCCCGTTTCTATGGGGGTAGTTCAAATGATGAAAGTGGTCAATTAGTTCGTTGTAATACTTGTTGGTTATATAGCCATTTGAATTCCGATTTGATGCTCGAAATACAAGGATGTTTGAAATGCTCTTTGTAGGCACCATAACTACATCTTCTATGAAGGCTGAATAATTTCTTTGTGCAAAAAGATGGAATATATTTATTATACTTTACACACAAATAATATTCAAAATGTAAGTTGCAGGGTCGAAGGTCCCTAAGCCTAATTCAGGATGATGATTATGACAAAAATGTCAACTTGACATCAAACTTAGGCCAGGACTTCGATGATCACACGATCGTTGCAAGTTGCAATGAGTGTTGGCTATTAACTCAAAACTGTTAGCGGGTTGCTTTTGTTAGTGATGTGTGATTCTGTGTTCAAAAGGCTCGGAGTAATTTATTATGTCACTCACAGAAATGGGGGAAAACTTACCGAATTATATTCAATGTAGGACTCGAGCAGAATTGCTCCCCTCTCACGAATTCGATATTTTTTGTCTTTCAACGCGTACCACTTGCATCGATGATTGGGAAGCTGTGAGAATTGACAAATAGTGACAAAATGGTGAACATGAGAGTAAATTAATCAGGATTGAGATTATTTCACCTGATGAAACGAAAACGGAAACATTGAGGGAACTTACCTGGACTATTGGAAAACGCAACTGACCGAGGATGTCTGCGCCATGTTTGTCTTCATCCAGTACCACAATCTCAAGCAAATCGTAAATATCACTGATTGGACTGTGGAAGAATAAATAAATAAAATGTCAACACACGTCATCGGGATTTACATGAAACCCGGAGGAAAAATTGCATTGGTTGACGTTGCGTTAGAAACATATTTGAATGACTGAATTGGTTTTGAACATTATTTCATTTATCATTTATCAATTTGTGTATATGTGGGAGCACTAACCAGCTTTGTTGTGCCTCGGTTTTCTTCCGTTTCTCTCATGGATGTTGTGGTTATCTGCATTGCATTATATTGTTTTGTTGCATTTAACGTTTTGCTCTGGTTCATTCTTTGTGCGATGTAAATTCTGAGCCGGAAATCTTTGTGATCAAGAAACGGGAGAGGCAATACCAGATTGTTAAAACTAAATCAAGCGTTGTTCCCGGCGATTCACATCTAGAACCTCCTAGTACCCCAAGCCTGATCCGGAAGGTCACGGAGCAGTAGATGAAAACCGCACTCCAATGTGGTTGGGGGTTCCGACATATAAAGACAAATTGTTCCTTAAATGAAGGGTGCTTGATTTGGCCTTATTCTATTTTGTAGCATTGAGACCATATTCTGTACGAATGCGGTGGCAGAACTTAATCGTTATGTTTGACGTTCAGTAATCCAGAAAAGTTTGTGAATAACGCGATGTTGTTGAACAGAAGTTGCTCAACATTTTGGCCACCTCGGTGGTCTTCATCAGGAGGAAGTGAATCGGCAATTAATCAGAACCGATGTGACAAGGGAACAGAGACCAAATTCGGGTCATCATAAAGAATCGACTTGTCACTGAGTGGTGCAAAACGGCCTACGTATGTGTGCGTGTGAAGGTGTTTAGGAGATTGAGCGCGATAAAGATCGATTCCCACTGAACATGCGCCTGCTTTTGGTTGCGTTCACTTGGCCTAACCACACATCTGTTTGCTGTACTGTTACTTCGAGGGATACAAAGAGAATGATTAAATCAAAAATGGACATCCACAATACAATAAACAGTACTTATTCTAAAGAAATAATGGCATAAACAATGAATCTTCTTTGAACGATAGCATTCAAGGAGTGAGGTAAGCGGAAGCATAAGAATTCCGTGTAACTCTAATGAAAGAAATCTGGTTCTTCATTTGTCATTGTTGTTCTTGTTCTGGTGGGTAAATCGATTTCACTGGTCAGATCCGATGAAAATCGTCTACAACTCAGGTTCCCCTCTGCAATCACCTATGATCCGTTATACGTACTGCGGAATCGGCTCCCTCAGATTTATTCTTGATGGCATCATCGTGTGTGTGTGTGTGTGTGTCTATTGTGTATGAATCAGTGTTTGTATGCTGTACACAAGCGAATCATTTATGATGAAAGAAGGAACTCCCACATCTATGGAATCTGACCCACAATACAACGATAAAGTAAACAGACTCTGTTGTGTCTGAATCTGTGAATCAACACATTTCAGCAAGTGGTGGGTGGGAGAGTGTAAGGCTGTCTGTCTCAAACCGAACATTAGCAGCTGGATTTACAGTATGCTGGTGACTGGTATTGATCAGCAGGAAGCAGCTTGCTAGTGCTTTTCGTCGGCGTTCACACAAGCTTANATGAAATATTAGGGAGCACTACCCATACCAAACTGACAATTCACAGTCCTTGATGTCCGTGGATTGGCACAAGATTGGAAAATAATGTGTTTAACATAGGAAGGCTTTCGAAACAAACATACAACAGCCACAAAATAGTGTTTTGCATTAAATAGGAGTGATACTTTTGAGAACGTGATAAATATTTAAACTGTTTAATAAATAAATGAGATCTGATACCGTTCTACGTTCGTTAGTAATTCGTGAAAAGTGAGTGCAATGGAGATGAAATGTGACTGGTTTAGCTGTTACACATATGAGGATACCACCATATTTGTTGCTTGACTTCCTTGGCTCAGATAATATATTGTCGGATATATTCATAAACTGCATGACAAATAGTATCGTAGAGGTAAGTTCGATAACATTGTTCGACATGGTGCTTGTGAGCACATTGTGCTATGAAGGGTTTCTACAAACATAATGTTACTATTGGGACAAGGCGTGTAGAGTGTTCCTAGGAGTGGGATCTTGGATTCAACGAAATAGTGGATAAAAAGTTTAGTTTTTCTGCTGTTTGTTTTTGCACTGATTATCCTGCTTGATTATGGTTTCAAGTTTCAATTCAGCTTGTTAAATACTTCATGCTTACATATCCTGTAGCAACTCCCATGGACAATTCAACCGCAAAACTCGAATTTGCCCTGCTTAAACGGGAATGAGGAGAGTGAAACCGGATTCCGTCAGTAGCACTAGGAGCGAGAAAAACCCTGGTGAAACTGTACTCCAAGAACCTGATGAAACCAACGGTACCAACTGAAGTTAGGTATGGAAAAACCAATAGGCAGCTGCGACACTTACAACACGAACACGTGATTCCACAGCGGGTTCAGCGTTTTGTAGACCGTTGAGGTATGCACGCATCGATTGACCAAGCGGACCATGCAGTAGGCATTACATTTTCCTCCCCGGGTCGGAACAACCAGATCACGAGCACCACGAACTGTAACGAAAAATTGATCGTTGGATGGTTAGAATGGGTGGGATAATGCAATAAATCCTATTGGATGTTTGTTCAGTTTAGCTGCCGTTTAAATGTATTCTCAGACACATGGTACCAGCCAAATGCAGCTCGAGATAATATTAGGTACAAAGCAGCATCTCATTCTCGATCGTCAGCACTATATGAGCAAAATGAAACTAAATGTAACGCTGGTTCCGGTTGAAGAGGCTATACTGTTTAAGATGCATGTGAACTGGGAGAGCTGCTTGGAAGCTTGTGGCGAGCAGCAATGAAACACAGGAGATGACGGTGTTTCAGAAGCAAACACTTGTGACAGAAGAAATAAGGCATGCGGTGAAAGGGAATGAATACCTAACCAGGACAGTTTACGATACCCATCGATAACACCGAATGACTCTACTCTCCGAATAATCCGCTACATTCATTAGGAAACTTTCCCATCGCTGGTGAGCTTGCCTCAGCCACCGAAATTCATGCAAGTCAGTCAGTGGAGTAAATTTGCTCACGCGATTCCTTAGTAATCCACACCTAACATCATCATTGCATGTACGGTTATGTTTGACTGAACTTGCGCACTACTACGTAAACAACGGAGCTAGGACCTTGATAATGTATGTTGTCAACACATCCATATTTGTGCAACACATGGCAGAACCCGAACTCGGAATGATGTCAATGATGTTGCCATATCTATAGCTTTCTGTGTACAGGCCAATACGGGCAAACTGTTTTGTCTGTCTCCACTGAGTGAGCCTTGGATTGGGACCACCGCGATTCTATAAAAACATGTAGCATTTCGAAGATGGATAAGGTGCACGAAATATAACTCGGTTGCATGTTAACAGGAAAGCTGGCTTCTGAAAAAGAAACCTCATTCTGATCGTAACGCTCGTTGCACTTTGTTTCTGAGGCCAAATCTCAACACAATGATTCAAAATGAATGCTGCAGCGAACTAACCAACAGCGGGATAGCAATCTAACAAATGATTAGCTGTAGTATTGATCGATCGATTAACTTTGACCAAAAATGAATCAAATTGGTTTACAGAAAAAGAAACGAGCCAGAGGAGTGGTGATCAATATGAACGAAGGATAAGTGTATCATCCGACTGCCCAAACAATGCATACAGAGCAACGATAATGACGTGACTCCAACTCATATGTACAATGTTATTTTCCGACTCACCAACGAGATGAAGCCACCCTACATCTTTCCTGTTCTCAAAGGTTCTCCGAAGACTCTGGGTAATAGGGGAAAAATGGTATTCATGTACTCATTAAAAACCAACATTAATCATCCATTTACAGATGAACAAAATCACTGAAATAAGCTGAGTATCACACTTGCTGAAAATTCTCGTTTGATTCGCAGCGTCAAGTGGCGTGGAATCCAGTACTGTATTGTAAGCAGTAGTGGAAATGGTGGTGTCACCATGGCTGATAGCGAAACGTTTTAAAACAAATTGCCCACTTCCGTAACTAGATGAAAATGAATTCTGTTAATTATATAAATTCCGTGCTGTCAGCTATTCCCTGCTTACATGGCTGCTTAACAACCTTCAAAGCAAAGTAACAAACGGGTTTGGCAATTTACGATATTGAAGCACGCATTTGGGGAAAAAATCATGCATTGCAACCGAGACCTAAAAGTAAATTGTGGGAAAATTCGGAAGAAACGATATCCAGAAAAGTAGTGGAACTTGATTACAACAGGAACCAACGAGACAGATACAGAGCCCGTGAAAAAAGCAACAACAAATCTCGTGCATATATATGAACAACGAACCACTGTTAAAGTTTGAGGTAAATAACACTTGCAAGGATATTAACAGTAAGATGGGTCCATGCACTTGTTTACGTACGTATGGGTTGATAGATCACGTGTGAGGTGAGCACTACGTGTTAGAAATGTGCATTCCTATGGCTGACTTATCAGGGTGATTGTATATGTGAACAGGTGGTCATCTCATTGTGTTTAGGCTCATGCAAATTTATCAAGGCAATCTGGTTTGTGTAAAATAGATCGTGTATCTTTCTGTAAGTAGAGCACACCAGACAGTATTGATAGTGATGGGGTTCACAGGCAGAATAGCTCTAGAGGGGAAATAATAAATAAAACACAATGTTGAATGGTCCGGGAAGGACAGGAACTAGCACGTCAGTCAATCGTGTTGTATGCACCATTGAATTGATTCGGTATTGTACAACGAATAATTCGGTGTACCGAATACTCGATTGAGCTGTTGATTGGTGCTGCAACCTAAAATTGACTGATAGGTTTACCATGCATACCTGTGGCCGGATCGACTGATTGGTTAACCGATGGCCCCTGCTACTATACACGCATGCATTCACCTCATGCGGACTATATTGCAATATCGATCGACTCCAGTCAATCAGATATTAGTATTGGATTACCCGCGCTGATTGATTGCTTGATTGTTTGACTGATTACTTGACCGCATTCGGATGTCATGTATCGTTGTCAGCCTACCTGCCTGCCTGCATACCCCCCTGTGTCCCAAATTTTTTGCACCCGTGTTTGCTTGCTGGCCTTTAGACCGGCTACCTACTGCAAGTAAACGTATCGTCTAGTTCACTGTGTGGTTATTTCCCTACTCAAACGGGATACAAGAACTGGCAACTAAATCCGTGGGATGAACCGGCAAAATATCAGGACATTGTGAAAAATGCATTGGAGCTGAGGCAAATAGGATTACGATCACCAGGGATGAAAACTCTTTTCGATTCACTCTGACATCTTTAGATAATCAAATTGTATCTCTAGGATCTCACCCTGAAAATCGGGATTAAAGCATGATTCATCTTTTTCACTGGGTTCTCAATCCATTACACATCACCTATTTGGAAACTATACACAAAGCGTGTTTGTGGGAATCAGAATGAACGTTTCGACTAGCCTTGGAAACATGTACAAGTCAGAAATGTGTGAAAAACCTTGGACTTTAGGGGCTTCTACATATTTTGGAAACTGTTAGGGGTGCCAATGGTCAGCAAGTGAACAGACAGTGTCATTGACCTTGACCTTTTATGATGTTATGATTGCCCCTCTTGTCATGTGGTTTAGTGTTTGATGCATTCATTCGAACATACACGGATCTGACGATCAGACGGTCTTTGTTCTTCCTCTCGCTCTGGGCGATCCAGGAACGCAATAGAAACAAACTGGTTAACGGTACTATCGATTGATAGGCGGATGTCTGGTCGAAGTCGAATACCAAAAGCCAATCCACACGAATCAGATCCTCAGCCTTCAGAGCACTCAAGAGGAGGTCCCTGTTAGGACGGNTAGGACGGAGCCTAAGAAACCCGTCCGATCGCGCACGCCTCCGAGTCAGGCCACACGCACGCTCGCAACGCTCCAGACAGGCTGAACCTGATTGGATGATCACAGAACGTATCAGCCAATGTTTGTCCAATCGATCAGTCGATATGTCAAGGACACTATCTGATTGGTATGACACTGCGCCGTCCTCGTATGCACGATTAGTTCTATATTTTTTGACATATCGATAACTTATCAAAGAATACACGCTGACTGTGGTCAAAACTTGTGTTCTCTCTCCGCGTTGTCGTTGGGGGTTAAGCAAGAGTCGCTCGTGTCATTCGTACGCTTAGACCGAACACAACAGTGCCTACAAACACTTTTAGAACGATCGAAAACGCACTGCAGCACTCTCCAGCTTCAAAATATGGAAGAAGCCCCCTTTCTGAGATGTTTCAACGTAACGCATACCCGCGAACTTTCGTCCTACGATGTTTACGTTCAACGCGAAAGGAGAAGACAACAGTTGAGGCCCCGGGAGGAGTTTCAAATGCCAGAAGAACGACTGACGATGACACGAGCAACACTGTCAGATATACAAGGAGTCACAGAAATAGCAGCCAGACTATTACAGCCATCAGGAATCTTGGTTGCACACAATACTACGGTGACAGTGAAGGCTATCCTATAAAGACCAAAGAATCGATTACCAAGAGANATTTTTTGACATATCGATAACTTATCAAAGAATACACGCTGACTGTGGTCAAAACTTGTGTTCTCTCTCCGCGTTGTCGTTGGGGGTTAAGCAAGAGTCGNTTACCAAGAGAAGATTTTTCAAACGTCGTTTACGAATCAAACTGTCGATACTGCCATATATACGATATGGGACAAACCGGTAAAAATTTCAAGATAAGCCAGTCAAAAGACATGAGGAGAAGTCACAAATGTCAATCCACATGTATGTTGAGTATCACATCTTCAAACCGGACAACGCAAGAATAGTCGGAAGGGGAACCACAAAGTGAATACTTAAATTCATCGAAGCATAGGACTCCAGGAGCGACAGTATACATAAGCATATATAACTGAACCTATCTACGGAATCACTGATGACCCAAAACTGTCCCAGCCAGAACCGTTTCAGAATCAGTACAAACCAGTTTGAAGCCGATTCAAACCGGTTTGCGGTCAATCTAAGAAACCCAATGGACCAATGAGAGAAAAGAGTCACCATGACAACGAACCAACCAATCAATTTGCAAACAGATAGTCGGTATCACCCTATAGACTGGAGGGAAAGCAAACAGCCAATCAAAACCCTTGAATCGAAATATATGAGCCCGGTCACACTGAGGACTGGCGCTTCCCCCGAGTTGAGCTGGTGATGTTGCCAAGCTGGCTGCGAAACGTTTGTGAACTACACTTGCAGCTTGGAGAACACCAACATCCGCATCCCGAGCTACAACCAATCCACACTCTATCCCGGGGGTTGAGTTATTTCGCAGTCTCTCGTTGTTCGATAAATTAAATTCATTGGATTCTGCTGATCAACTTTACCATTATAATTTAGGCACTCTTGATCATAGAAGGGGTCCCACTAAAGTCTGATACCGTTTACAGTCCAAACCCTAACACTATAACTTTGAACCCTTTTCTCAGCAAATAATATCCAAAATTATTCATGTTTGTAGGACAGTTCAAAGTTGAGTTGAGTTTCCTTTGTACATTTATTAATCTTGCCCTTCCCGTCTGATTTATTGTCTTCGGCGGAACATGACTGACGAACATCGGAAGTCAAATTGAATGAAAGTTGAGAGGGAGAAAAAGATAGCGTCCATGATAACGTGCATGAGGAGGTGCGCTGAGAAGCTAGTGGATGTTCAAGTTCCCTCCTAGGGACATGCCCGAATCAAGCAGACATTCTAACCGTCTTTTTTGTTAGAATAACTCCAACTGGGGAGTTTAACGCAAAAACAAATTCCACTATTTTGTAGCTCGCTTGAACCTTCACAAATCGGGTGCCAGTTTCTGTTGGCTTTTTGTTGTAGCTTTAAAAAGGGTTAATGATTTTCATATTCTTTAAATTTAAAGGAAATGCAATTTTGGCAAAAATGCTGAAACTTGTTTTATTATCTAAGTTATAAAATAACACAAATATAGATAATCGTGTCCTTTTTATCTTGGCATTTGTCCACGGATGCCCTCTGTATTGACTTACATAGTGCATCTTAACCATTTCTAGCAATTCTTTTGAGGGCAATTTTAGTTTAGGCTTGAGTGCAGGAGGTGTCGGAACGGGTTCCTCGAAGTCGTCGTAATCCTGTGATGTTACGTAGGGTGATGTTGTCGGTGAGGCCGTCGAGGTCAGCCCGGTCAAAGTGACAAGGAGGACCACGTGACCGCGATAGTTGTCCAAATCGTTTTTCAAGGTGAAACATCCAGTCCAATCTGGTGGTTGCCGGCCAAAATCCAAATACCCACTAAACGGAACAGAGTATGCAAACAGATTTAGCATTTAATTTTTTCATCTAGGGAATTATGAAAATCATGACGACGTTTTTGAAAAAATGATAAAATTTATTGTATATCATTGAATAACAGTAATTTCTTGTTAATACAATAATGAAGGTTGAATGAAGTAGTGAGCAACACTAGACAAGAATATTTTCTTCAAAACAATTTGGTTTCTACCATTTCGTAATTTATCCTTGCAAAGGTGTATTAAACTGATCTATTCTACTGCAGAACCTATTCCGATATTGCAAGTGAATTTATGGAAACTCCTCGGGTTGGGAGGACGGTCAACTGAGAATCGAGTAGATGGGAGCAGGTAATCGATGAGTGTGCATCATAGCATGTGCATTCGGTATCAGGAGAGATGGATGAATAAATAGATAGTATGATAGTCGGATAGGCAGATAGGGAGACATATCATGGAGCTGCTTGAACTCTTTATGGATTCATATCTACAGTTTGACGGGAGGGTATATCGGCAGGTAAAAGGCACCACAATGGGATCAATAATCTCCGGCCCACTAGCTGATAAGTTAATGAAGTAATAAAATAATTGGAAGAATACTGTCCCCGTCTCTGGGTCAGATACTTGAACGACACCTGGGTGGTGCTGACGGCAGAAAGGATTGAATAACTCCATGATGATCTAAAAAAGATCAGGTCAGGGATAGCATTTACCCAGGAGTAGGAAAACGAGAGACTCCCTTTCTTGAGCTTCCATATCATATGCAAAGCAGATGGAAACACAGAAATCAATGTGCACAGGAAACAGGTACTGAACTACGACAGCCTAAGAACCTGTGTGCACGCTTTGTTCCGCCGTGCAAACACACATTGCTGCACAGAAGAACTCCGGTGTCAAAAACGAATGTATTTATTCCATCAGTTCCAGGCATACGTGGAGTAGCGGAAAGCGTCGATCGCATCCTCTGGGTGTTACCAATGTCCACAAACCTACAACACCATTGCGGTAGAATGACAGGACCAATCACGGGTGGTGTGCGCGATTCTGTGCCTAGACTATGAACAACATTAAATATGAGGGACAGGTAAACAGATATTCACTCACCTACACGAACTCATTCGCACTCGACGCACCTACCAGAAGCCACACCAGTGGACTCAGCCACTAGTCACGGGGTCAGACTCAACGATGCAAAAGTGCAGTGCGTTTGGGCCATCGTTTCACATCATCTTTTCCCTCTCACCAGTGACCTTAAAAAATTCAGTTCCCTCTAACCCTCTCTGCCATCTGATTGGATCATTTTCCGTGATTTGCGCCACCTGGATTCCCCCAACATGACACGAGGCTGTCTGACTACCGGTTCGTAATGTTTGCAATGCTCTTGTTGTCACCTTTAATCCATTCACATGATGACCTCTAGCTCGGGTTAGCTGGGTAGGAATCATGTCCTTTGAGCAGCTGAA